GCTCGCACTCGCTCGCACTCGCTCGCTCGCTCTCTCTCTCTCTCTCTCTCTCTCTCTCTTTCTTTCTCTCTCTCGCTCTCTCTGTTAAATGACATGAGCCCAATGTGCCCCCGAATGTTCAACATGCATTTATGAATGCCACGATGCTGCATGGCATTGGCCCAAGACTGGACAGATCGGCTTTTCACAAAGGAATGTCCGCTTGAGCGTGGTGACTGTGGGGATTGATCTTGGTTTCTCTGGACAGTGTAGATTGTGTTGGTGAATTTTGCACTCTCTGGCTCTCTCTCTTTGTTTTGTTTTTTTCCCTCCCTCTCTCTCTCTCTCTCAGGCAAGAGCTGGCAAAGAAACTCGAAGAGCACGAGCAGGAGCTTCGTGCAGTGCGAAGTGAATACCCCGGAAGTATATATGAGTCCTCATTGACAGCCTTGTAAAGCGTTATCTTCTGTAGCTTTGGTCCCTAAGCCCTACTTCCTAGACTCCCTAAGCGGAAAATGCTACTACCAGCAGTTTTCGGAGGCCTGGCCTCAGTGTTGATAAAGTCTAAAACCACGCTGCGTATGCAAGAACACTGAATCAACAAGAACCCCGAAGCCCTCATCTAGTATAATGTAGTATGGTACAGTTATAATGTAGTATTGTAGTTACAATGTAGTATAGTATAGTTATAATGTAGTATCGTATAGTTATAGTGTAGTATCGTATAGTTATAATGTAGTATACCGAAGTTCTGGGCTTTTCAACTCTTCAGTTCCGCCAAACCCCAACGAATATTTTGACCTGCAAAGCTCGCAGGACAAATGCGTTTCTGTGTTCGCACCACGAACACACACACACACACACACACACGGACTTGTCCTCGCAGTCGCAAGACTATCGCTGATAGCAATATACCACCATTAACCTTTGCTGTGAAGCCAAAGCTATACTGTAGCGATGCTCGACAGCTCATATTGCTGTTCTGCAGACAAGCTGCATAATGGTCGTGGTCGTGGTCGTAGTCGTCGTCCGAAGAGGAAGAGCAGTGGGAGCAGGTGTAAGGGCGGAATCAACAGACTGCACAGTAGCAGTGCGTTTGCTTCCACACTATTAGTGACAATGTCTGAGGGCCTGCGAGCTGCAGATTTTGTTAGGAGCTGCGTGCTGAGCTGAAGCTGTCTTGAAAGGCGCCTTTTGGAGGCTCTCCTGGCTTTCTGCCGCGGTTCGAGCTTGAACCTTCTCGTTGAGACGGACTTTGGGGTTTAGCACGCCAGCTAGCCTACGCTAGGGCACTCAGTTATAAGATATAATGCCGTGATTGGCCTCTGATAGGCCATCGGTGAGTTTTGATGGTTTCGGAAATCACCCTAAACCCTAAACCCTAAACCCTAAACCCTAAGCCCTAAGTTTTTGTTCACGGGAGACCCCGGAGTGACTGAGAAGGAGGCCCTGAGCTTCAGGCTCCTAACAAGCAGAGGCGGCCAAGGAAAAGATGCAGGCCGAATGGCTAGCCACAGTTTCAGTGTGGGGTTTAGGGTTTAGGGTTTAGGGTTTAGGGTTTAGGGTAGGGTTTATGGTTGTAGCCGGTTGGAGTCAGAATGCAATCCTGACAGCAACCGTTGTTGCTGTTTGTAGCTGCGCAGCACCGGTAGGAACCTGTCGCATTCCATCGTAATTAGGGATGGTCGTCAGAAATGGAGGAGGGAAATGTTAAGCCCTGAAGATTCCAAAAACGTCAGATCCCGTACTATGGACGCCTTTACACCCTAAGCCCTAAACCTTAAGCCCTAAACTTCAAAGCCCCAAAAAACCCCGAGATCAGACTAAATGGCAGACCTAGCCTCCCTCATGAAATCTGGACTGCCAGCTTTGCAGGCTCTCTCCTGCAAACCGAACCTGGGGGGCTTCTGGCTGGAATGATTTTTTGGCGTAATTTGCTAATGTCCTCATGCATGAGCTTTCCCTTCGGGCGCTAAGTACCCAGAGGGCAGTTGACTGCGAGTTCTTGAAAAGCTGCCAATACCCATGCGTTGGAGATGATTCCCTGGGTTTGTTCAGATCGCTGACAGGAAGTACGAATCCACATGAAGCCATTCAAGGACTCCGCAGCGTCCTTGCATTACTTATCAGCTGGGCGTGACCCCCCATTAAAGCAATTTCTTCCTTGAGATCCGTAGCCCTAATCCCTAACCCCTAAACCCTATACATGTTTTTTGAGTGGGGGGAGAATGCTCTGAGGTTCCACTAAGCAGCTAGATGCTCATGCACCTAATTCAGAGGCTGGGCCTCGCTAGCAGAGTCGCCAGCCGCATGCAATGGAGAAAAGGCTTACTAGAGGAGGGCAAAGATTTAGCGATATTATACCCTTAAAGGAGACCCTATTGAAGTTAATAGAACCCTATAGTACCATTGAAGGGACCCTATTCTGAAACCCTATTATACCCTTATGGCCCTATGGTTGTGGGCCGCTGCAGAGAAAGCGTCCGAGTCTCTGAGCGGTTGCTGTCCGATCAGATGATTCATTCACCAATCCTTTTCGCATGGGACATTGTGTTTTCAGTAGTGCCCTCGACTGTGTGTTTCAGAAAGCATTCGTCTTTGGCACACGAAGATAAAGGCAAAGTGATCTCAAAGTGGGAAATGGAAGGTTTGCCTGGAAATTTCGAAGCATCTCGACTCTATCTGCGAGGGGCCGCGAAGTCTAAGTCGATGGTTAATTCTGGTAGTATACCTCTCCAGCGGCCAAGTGCGGCAAGTGTGATCTTGTTTGGTTTGTCAGAGTCACACTTTTCTCGTGTGTTCTGGTCTGCACTTCTCCAAGCCTGTTCGTCGATAGGAGCATATGGAAGGGGGTTGCAATCTGAAGAAGAGTATGTTAGGTAACCCCCAAAAAGGAACTACAATGGAGCCTATAGGTACTACTAGGATCCTGAATACGGGAGCCCAAAAAAGAAGAGTATGTCCGACGAGAAGCTGCTCGGCTTCGTTTCCTGCGGCAGGCCACTCCTTCCCCGAGCATTCCAGAGAATCATTTCCGAGATGGGTTGAATGTAGCGAATGTGCATCGGGTTTAGGGTTTAGGGTTTAGGGTTTAGGGTTTAGGGTTTAGGGACAGACGAGCTATTTGCGCTGTGGCGGCCATGTGTCATAAGCTTGCTCACACCACAGTGCCCGAACCTTAGATTGCCGACTTCGCCTCCATAGTCAAGGCTCCGACATGAAGCCCTTATATACGCCCTCCCAACAAAACATAACTCAGGATCCGATCCCATCATAGTCCTGCTATGATATGCCCCGAAACCTTCCAATTTTTAAGGACCCTGCGAGCTCCTAAGAGACTGTTTCAAAATTCCTCTTTACTTGATCCCGAAACCTTCAGCCCAAGCCCGTATGGGTAACCCTTAAAGGAGTCCCATACAGAGAAAGCTTCAGAAGCCCTTACGGGATCCCTTAAATTAAAGGAAGCCCTTATAAACCCTAAACCCTAAACCATCAACCCTAAACCCTAAACCCTAAACCCTAAACCCTAAACCCTGAACCCTGAACCCTAAACCCTAAACCCTAAACCCTAATAGGAAGCCTCGGCCCGAAATCCGAAACCAGCTTCTCCGGGGTTCGCCGCCCGGGGAAGCCGCCACTCAGCGGCTCAGACATGGTCTGGGCCTCAGCCGCCTTGTAGGAGAGGGTTTAGGGTTTAGGGTTTTAGGGTTTAGGGTTTAGGGTTTAGAAGCTCGAAGATTTTTAGAGGTTTCGGTAAGGCTTTACAGGGAGTTTAAGGGGGGGGTTAGAGTTTTGGGTTTCATAGGCGTTTTTCGAAGTTTCTAGGGGTTTGAGGGCTAGGCTTCTTTCAATTTGGGTCTTACATGCGAGCTGCAGTTTCCCGAGCGATTGTGCGGGAACCTACCAAATCAACATGCACAAGGATCCCCTAGATTCCTCTAGATTCAAAGATCAGGTTCCCTAATCCTAAAACTTAAGACCCTAAAGAGGTTCTCTCATCCTAGACCCTGAAACCCCAAAGCCTTGAACCCTGAACCCGAAACCCCTAAGCCCTTAAGCCCCTAAACTATAGCCCGAACCCTAAACTGCCGAGAGCGCCGCTGGGCGCTCGAGGCTCCGACCGAGGCCCCCGGCCGAGCGTCGCGGTCCGTTTTAATTAGAACCTCCAACCCCTCACCATTGCGAGCGATGTGTTTTTCAACCGCCAAAAAGATGGATAATCAGGTCCTTTCTGGAGGAGGCTTTAAACCCTAAGCCCTAAACCCTAAACCCAAGGCCTCCCAGGGCCTCCCGCCTCCCAATTCCCTTGCATTGCGGGGCCCGGGCCTGCCAAGGGGTTCGAGCAACCCTGACATGGTGCGACGGAGGAATTGTTTTTTGGGAACGCTTGCTTCTCGTCGAGCGGCCGGCACAGCAATCCATCTCAGCTGTGTTTTGCTTGAAAATGTATAGTCATCTTATGCAGGGCTGCGAGGAGAAGCAGAAAGATTGAGGGGGGTTTGGGGGGTGAGCCCTAAACCCTAATTGAGAATAGTTGGGGTGGTCGGGGCGCGACTACATGCTGACGCAAGCGCGCGATAGTCCGCGCGCCCTATTCCTAAAGTAAAAGGCGCACTCACCGCACTGTATACACACCCTAAACCCCTAAACCCCTAAACCCCTAAACCCCTAAACCCTAAACCCTAAACCCCAAACCCGAAACCCTACACCCCAAACCCTAAACCCTTAACCCTAAAACCCTTAAACTCTCAACCCCTAAGCCCTAAACCCCTAAACCCCTAAACTCCTTTGCCCTAAACCCCTAAACCCCTAAACTCCTTTGCCCTAAACCCCTAAACTCCTTTGCCCTAAACCCCGAAACCCTAAACCCTAAACCCCTAAACTCCTTTGCCCTAAACCCCTAAACCCTAAACCCTAAACCCCAAACCCGAAACCCTACACCCCAAACCCTAAACCCTTAACCCTAAAACCCCTAAACTCTCAACCCCTAAGCCCTAAACCCCTAAACCCCTAAGCATCGCGTGCGGGCGAGGCGAAGGCTGACGACCTGAGCACCGACTGGCAGCGCTCGGCCCGTGCCTGATCCGGGATCCTTTTTAGGGCTTTGGGTTTAGGGCTTAGGGGCTTTGGGTTTAGGGTCAAGGGCTTAGGGGCTTTGGGTTTAGGGTTTTGGGGTTTAGGGCTTAGGGGTTTAGGGTGTATAGGGTTTAGGGTTTAGGTCCTAGAAGTGCCTTGGGGCATGACAAAATATGATAAGATAGCGCAGTTTAAGTTAGTTTGCTATAAGATAGTATAAGTTAATATACGAAAGCAGAGTTTAAGATAAACTTTCAGATGAGATATTCGAGTATCGGGGGTGGTATTTTTCGAGATGTCTTTAGTTTTGGGGATGTTTGCGCCGCCTTACAGCCTTCGATGTGGGGTTGGCTAGGTCCGGGAAGTTTTCGCTGCACTTTGCAAGTTTCAGGGTTTAGTGTTTGCGTTCTTATATAGCCCTTGCGGAGCGAGGTCGGTTACTTACAGACTTACAACGTTTGTGTCATCTTCTGCTTTCTCTTCCCATTTTTACCGGTTGCATGCCATACTCGTCGCTGTCAAGTCCGTCAAAGATTCAGCATAAGCCTGCTGCCTTTGTGACTCTTCTGCTACAAGAGCAGAGACGAGCCCTGCAACACTCATACCTCAAAGATCGACGTCCCCAACCCTGCCGGCTTAAAGGATTATGGGATTTAGCAACTACGGAAACTACTAGGGTAACCATACATATAGCTACTTATAACCCCTACTTAAGGGGCTCATAACCTTACTTTCTGAGTCCCAGGATCCTCCGAGCGCGCCCCCCAATTTCACTCCTCTGGTGGCCTGCAGGCCGGCGACTTTTCCTGCTCCATCTGCCGAAGGAAGCGGCTTACAGCGCAAGACTTCTCTAAGAAGCAGGCGGGTTTTTTAGGGTTTAGGGTTTAGGGTTTATTCTGCGTGTTAGTGTCGTTTGTTCTCATTTATCCTTGATATCAGTGGTACAGATGTAGTCATCATTACAAGCTTATTCGTCCTTATCTTATGTTATCGTCCTTATTACTACTATCACAATCTGCGTGTTATATTGTGTGATGGTTCTATTTGCAAGTTGCGAACCCTTGGAGAGTTGTCACTGGAGGCCGCGCCGGCGAGCGCAGACGCCCTGAAAGTTCGTGAGGGGCTAGAGAGAACACTGCGCGGACCAATCCACCCTAAGTTGAAGATGGGACTTTCAAAAGCTGCTGTAAAGTCCCCTATCTGGACGACCAGGATCCTTGTATAATGCAAGGAACCCCAAGTTGAAAAAACTGGCAGGTGGACAAAGCGCTCGAATCCTTGCAGTCCATTCCTGACAAGGTGCCGACTGCTTGCTAGATTGTGCAACAAGAAAGCTCTAGTATGCTGGCAACATGTCTCGGTGATAGAAGTCGAATTTGATGCAGGAACCGGGCGTGACTCACATGAAGTGTTCGGTAGGAGTCAGGACGTGAAGTTCGTCCCACCACAAGAATCCTACTTTGCTTCTTTTGTTATGCACGACAGTGTACACTGCGGCTTTGCAGGGCTTTGCTTGAAGGGTTAGGGTTTAGGGTTTAGGGTTTAGGGTTTAGGGTTTAGGGTTTAGGGTTTAGGGTTTAGGGTTTAGGGTTTAGGGTTTAGGGTCTTTGGGAAGGAGAAGTGATAAGGGGAGCCTCTGAGCCGCAAAGCTTGCAGAGTCCAGAGCTTCGGGAGAAGAGCGAGTCGAGCTTCGAATGCTTAAGCTGCAAAGAAGCACTTCCTTTCAGGCCTGAAGTAAGGCCTTTAAATCCTGAACTCAGAAACCTCTACTAAAAACCTGTAAAGTGAGGGGTATAGGCTTCTCAGACCTCCTTGGAGGACATCCGGAACGGGCAGGAGATCAAAACCGTCCTCTTCATAACTGCAGTGCTGGGCCGAGACGTGTGTGACTTCAGGCCAGCGGTGTATCCTTGCCTGGCTCAAGTTTCATCAAGACGTCTCGCCAGAAGCACCACCGCCACCATCATGCAATTGTCACTACGACTATTTTCATCATCATCATCATCCTCCTCCTCATCATCATCATCCTCGTCGTCATCACCATCAACCTCTTAACCATCCTCATCATCGGAGGTGCATTGAACCTCATGCGGTCATAGGCTAGCGAAACCCATATGGAAGTTTTCGCGTGGCTCCAAAGTTAAAGCTAACCGCCGGGGCTCTGTTGCACGTTCCTGTGTCAAGGTGTGCAAAAAATGCATGGAGGAGAAGGACGCCGAGACCTTGAGTTTTTTCAACTTGAGGGTGCAAGTGTGAGCAATCCGAAACTCAGATCCGCACGGCTATAAACAGAGTTGCAGTGCCAGTATGAACGACGCTGCCCTACATACCGTGTCACCAAAGTAGGGCAGTCGCCAACTGTGTCACCTGTTAGTCAATTGAAAGGAAACCTGGCATTCTCAAATTCTCGGCGATCGCTGCTGAATGCGCTAGCATCATTTCTTGAACAGGAAGATACTGTAGGAGCCTCGTGCGCGGTGATACTCCTCGTAGAAGCCAGCCCAAATCAAACACTATCCGGGCTGTTCATTTAGGCCTCCATCTTAGTCTGGGGTTGGGGATGCTGGCAGTGTTTCCGTGTCACGTGTTCCGCATGTTTGCTGTTGAGCAGTGGCTGTTCGAGGATTGCCCTCGATCTGTGTGAAATCTCGTGTAATACTGTGCAAGAAAGAATCCAAGAAAGCCGCTGTTTTTCAAAAGGTATAGCGGCTTTGAGCAGCACATAGGAGCCCACCAGAGCCTCCAACGAATGTAATGTCAAAAGGACGGTACACTATCCAGTATCGTCGAGGCTTGGATGAACAGACAACTACCGGCATGCGGTATCTAGAAGCAACACCTGCCCTACCAGCTTGGTCAGACCATCCTAAGACCTAGACCCTAGCTTAATTTCTTAAGCCGTAAAGCCCTACTGTAATCCCCTAAAGCCCCAAACCCGAACGTGAGGAGCAAAAGGAGAAGGAGGAGGCCTCTGCCCGCCGTGAGGCGAGGACGCAATTACATACAGTACGCAGACATACATATGTACACACGTACAGGCATACAGACATACAGATATACAGACATACATACATACATACAAACAGACAGACATACATGCATACATGCGTACATGCGTGTGTGCATGCATGCGTGCATGCGTACATACATGCCTGCATACATACATACATACATACATACATACATACATACATACATACATACATACATAGCCTGCAGATTTGCAGCACGCTCCTTTAGATCCTGGTGCAACATTCTGCAAAGCCCAGCCTTAGCGCAAGCATCGCTGCTGGATTAGGATTTAGGTGGAGACTGTCCCGGCGCCGTAGAAGGGAACAACCGTGTCCAACCCGTCTATCATGAAAGGGCATTCCCCAAGCTCACAAGGCTCGAGGACAACCAGGCAACCGTGCTATCACATGCATACATAAATACATACATACATACGTACATACATACATACATACATACATACATACATACACACATACATACATACGTACATACATACATACCTACATACGTAAATACATACAGACATGCATGCATACATACATACCTACCCACCCTTGCCTACCTGCCTGCCTGCCTGCCTGCCTACCTACTTACCAACTTCCCTCCCTACCTACCACCTACCTACCCACCTGCCTTCCTGCCTACTTACCTACCCACCTACCTGCCTGCGAAAACAGAAAAAACCATATGGGCTTATCTTATCACGAAAACTCCTGTGAGAGCGTCCTTCATTGCTCCTCATAACGCGGGGCTGGAGGTTTGGGGCGCGGAAAGTTTCGGCTCCTTCCGCTTCGCTCGGCAGGGTGTGTAAAGCAGAACTTTACAACATAACATAGTAGTGTATAGTGCAATGCAATATAGACAATGTAGTGCATTATGCAAAAACATAGGTTTGATTACTATTGTGCACCAGAGGTCGACAAGCCACAATGCATCATGCCAGTCCCTGGCTCTGAAGTAAGAGTACTCGGGTTTCTCAGACTAGGGTCATAAGTGTCCAGAGCTTTGGGGGCTTCGTTGGCTTCCAGGGTCGAGAAAGGTCAAGGACGGCTTGGGAGCCTAAACCACAAATCCGTAAATAATCCCTGCCAACTTCTTGGTCTGTCACGCGGAAGGGGAAGGAAAGGCTTTCAGCAAAACGCAGAATAACTACAACCTCAGCCTCAAGGCTACAAAGATAAACCCTACTAGACACTAAGGCCCTTATCCATAAACCAAAACTCTAAACCCTAAGTTTAGGGCGGCGGACATCCCAAAGGCCCGCAAAAAAACCCTAAACTTTTTTTGGCCCTAAACCCCAAATCCTGGCCTAAATCCCAGTCCCAGAAACGCCAAGCTTCAGGAGCGAGAGCAGGCGATCGCCGCGACGGAGCTCGAAGCACCTCCCCGAGTAGAGGCCCCGTTTAGGGTTTCAGGGTTTCAGGGACTGGGGTTTGGGTTAGGGTTTAGGGTTTAGGGTTTAGAGTTTGGGGTGTTTTAAGGTTAGTGAGGATGAACAAGACCTAAAGCAGAACAGGGCCCCAAGACACTTGCCAAGTGCTGCTCAGATTTCTTCATGCTTCGGGGTTCAGCCGGCTGTGGGCTTTCAGGATTTTGTCGTTGAGGCATCGACCCTGACAGTTTAGAGTGCAGGGAGCGAAGGGTACCTTCCAGAAACCACCGCAAGCGACGGCGTTCTGGTACATGGCAGTGTAGTGTGGGAGTAATATAGGGGCCTAAATCATAGCACTAATTTGGGGGTTCCTTATTATAATTGTAGTATAATATACCCCAAGACCCCATTCTAATTCTTAAGGCCCCTACATCATCCCATGTGGCAGCAAGGTCCTCAGACACTCTTCCCAAAGAGGTCCCCAGGTCTGAAGTGCGAACCGACCATCCAAAGCAGCATTTGGCCTTCCGTGCAGGTGACATTAGCGAGTCGCCCCTTTGGCATGACCCCGGCGAACAAAGGCCTCATCTTCGTAAGCTTTTCGAGTGCAGTCCGGGCGTGCCATACTCGAGATAAGACTTCAGGGTCTGCTCCAAAGTGGAGGGATGTTATCGCAAGATTCATGCAGCTGCCGCAAGGGTGCGCTGATTTGCAACATGCTACTTGCCGCCTTGCTGGCCATGATGGGCTGGTGACCAGGTTACGCGTACATTGAGTGAATTGGTTGCAGCGTTTCCTAAGGTTTCCGGCACCCTGACAGCGTGCCATGCAAAGTACATCTTATCCTCGGAAGTACAAGCTGCACAAACAGGAAGTTGCATGCTCAGAATGGGGACGACTACCCATGCGCTGAGCGCCGGAGACGGGCATCGACGGAATACCTCCCCGTGTATGATGCTGCCTGGATTTTATAGTTATTACAGTAGTTCTATTATCCTTGTCCTGAATTTGCAGAAACTTCTCAGGCTATGCGCAGCCCTTCAACTGAATCTAAGCACACGTGCGAGCGCGTCCAGCCAGGTCTGTGGTTCCGGGATCCAGAAACGCGTTAATCACAGTACAACGAAGGCTCTCCGGTTTTATGAAGGTTCCGAACTCGAGCCCCCCTCCCCCGGCACAGGCACAGGCTACGTCGTGTTGAAGACGTCAGAAGGGAAGCCTGCCATCAAGGTGAGGCTTGTCAGTACCTGACACGGCCTTCACATACCGACAAGGATGCTGAAGTGTCCCTTGAAAGCCAAATCAAGATGGGGGTTTCAGAAAATAGGGGACCCTAATATGGTAGCCTAAATAGTAGGATCCTTACTATAAGAACCCCAAAATAAGGGGTACCTTATTTTCGGAAACTCTCAGATGTGGCATGACATCAGGGAGCCTTGGCACAAGCTAGTGGAAGTAGAGCGATGCTGCACAGCGTGGCTTCCACATGGCCGTGCTTGGATTCTTGTTTTTCGGTGCAGTGCTGGCAGTTGCAGCTTCGTCACGGGGTGCCCTCAACATATCAGAGTCAGCAAAGACCCTCAAAGTTTGTACCTTACCTCTTTTCCGGACGGCTTAAGCCTGCGATCATTGGCCGCTCCGTGTCCCCATTCAGTGGCACAGAGTCTGGATCTGACTCTGCACCTCTGAAAAAGCCGACCCTGACTCGATGGATCCTAGCTTCAACCCTACAACAGGCCTGGCTAAGTTTACCCGTTACAAGCCCGAATTTGTTGCGTAGTTTTACCTAAACCCTAAACCCTAAACCCTAAACCCTAAACCCTAAGCCCTCCAAACCCTAAACCCTAAACCCCTTGGAAGGCCGGCATCCGGCCTGGCTGGCGTGTTGCAGATGTGGCCGGGCAGAGCGTGGAGGGCCTGGAGGCCGAAGCCACTGCAGGGACTTTGTTGTTTAGGGTTTAGGGTTT